CCCGTATGCCGGGGCAATAAGTGATGCTTTCCTGTTACAGGACGACAACGCAAGACCATACAAGGCTCACATTGTAGATGTTTATCTTCAACAGGGAAACAATTATGCGCATGGAGTGGCCAGCTCGATACCCCGGACTTGAATCCTATCAAGCATGTTTGGGATGCTTTAGGGAGACATCTAGCTGCTTTCAATCCACCCCCTCAGACCCTTGTCGTGCTTGCAACTGCTTTGCAAGAGCAATGGCTCTCGCTTCCTATGGAACTGATAGATCGCATAATTGAAAGCATCACACATCGTTGTATGTGCTGTATTGCTTCTAGAGGTGATCATATTCCGTATTGAAGGTACTTTTCCTATAGCAAACTAACACCTTCGATTTGTTCATTTTATACATGTGCTAATTTCTATACTACCATATTTGTCTGGTAATTTCTTTTTATGTTATTTGATACCTTGCTATGTATTGTATATTGTGGGTAAGTTTCATTAAATTCTACATGTAACTTTTTCAGTAATCGTGATTTTTGTGATTTTTCCTTAATTTATGATAACCAGTGTACTTAGATATTTAAATTACATAACATCGATGATCACTGTAGGTTTACTAATGGTTGAAAAATAAAACTGTTGTACCTGATTGATTTTATTTGCTGTTTCATTCCTTAAATTAAGTGGATTGCATTTTTTTTTTTTTTTTTTTTTTTTTTTTTTGTTATAATATGTGACACAGCTATCATGAAGGATTCTAAAAATCCTTTGTTAAAAGAATCTTCATGGTGATATAGCTTAGCTTTATGACTTGAACAGCCTCATCTTGTTCCTTCCAATTTATTATTGTTTTTTTAAAATTATATAGTTTACATTTCTGAGCAGTTAAATGTATCTCTGAATCAATTTATCCAGCTATGTAGATATGTAAAAAATGCATTTCCTTACTGTATTCTTTAATTATTTATTTGAAAATGTATTTACAGAATAATTTTGGTCATCTATTTGTAGACAAATTCTGATCATTTTCTTGCAGATGAATTCCCATTTGCCTTTCTTTTTTGTGTTAAAAAGGTTTTCTGAGTACTTTTTCATCTCTATCAGAATGTATTTTTCTGTTGTAAAATATCCAAGCTTCTTAAGTTCATTTACATTTGTGCATCTAAATTTCCTACAACTTTCTTTAATTGTGCATTAAAATAGAAATATCAGAAACACTGAGCTAACACTAATATTAGAAAAATGTAAATATCATTTTTAGTAATTTCTTTCAGCATCACTGCACTGGATTTTATTTACTACGTGCCATTTCAGAGCAAAAATGCATGGGAAAATGTCTTTGATATAAGACATTTATTAGTAGATTAGAGCTGCATTCTCATCTAATAAAGCAGAGAAATTTTTTAAATGCCAAAAGGAAGTAATGCTATGTGGGAAAACTTTGATCTTAGGTGGCAAATTAAAGAACCCTTAAAAAAAATGCCATTGTTATATTTTAGTAAAACTTAAAGTGCATCAATTCTACTTATTTCCCAAGTAATTGTCAGCAGATTTTACTGATTCATCTTTATTCCATCTAAACTGTAAATCCATTTTAAAGAGTTGTAGAGTTTTTTCTTTTCTACTGTGTTTGTAAATATATAGTTTTAAGAAATTACAAAATCAAATGAAATTAGAGGGGGGGAGCTAAAAATATTTGATTTCTTTCTAAGTTTTAATTTAGTAAATTTTACATCAAAATCAAGTAATGGTTAATTTAATAATTGTAATAATGCATTATAAAGTAACTTGTAAAAAACAATAATTTTCTTCGTACAAATATTGCAATAATACAAAAGCATTTTCTTTTCTGTCAGTCATATATGTTGTATTTATTGTTTCTTTTCTCTGTTTCATATTAAATTTGTCTGAAGGCAGAAGCCAAATATCCTTTTGAAGGTGTGTCACTGTGTGTGCCCCCCCCCCAAAAAAAAGAAAAAAAAAAAGAAAGAGAAAATACATAATTAAATGATTAACAGAAACAAGATCATGAGGTAGCTAAAAATTTCAACACCCTCTATATACATTGATAAATTTTCAGACTCAGCATGACCTGTTACTGCACATTTCAGTTTTCTGTTTCTGTGAATGCATTAACTAATCTTTATAAAACAATTCTTTTTCTTTAACATTATCTTTATGCAATTATCTGCTGTTTTTGTTTGTGCATTTAAAGAAGACTAAGTTCTTTGCAATATAAATGTTTAAAAGGCCTGCACATTTTCACGAGGTACATATGCTTATTGCAAGCAGCATTTAAATGATTATACCACTGAAGCCAGTTTCATTTGAAAGCAACAAACAAGATAGCTTTACAAAAATATGCCCTTTTCCTCCTCTCAACAGTTTTTTAATAAAATCACTTATTTAAAAAAAATTAAATATTGTATTAGGCACACAATAGTAATATAAATATGCACACGCAAACACAAAGGGAAAATCACGTGTTTTTATAATTAAATATTAAGCCTGAATCAAAGTTTTTTCTTTTGTTATCAAAGATTCTACTAAGTAATTCTGTATATTTCTCAGTGGTTCCCCCCACCCCACATACACACACCTTTATGCTTTCATAAAAACTAAAGTATTGAGTCTTTGTTTCAGGTATGAAAAATAGGTATCTTGTAATATGATTGGTTCATTTGTTTTGAGGTAAAATATGCCTGCAATAGCCCCTTTTTCTTTTTAAAGCTAAAAGTATTAACCAAAGGATTCGTTTATAAGACACTTAATATATCAGTTATCAGTGTTATTTTTCTCTGTGCTTTAGATTTGTATCCTTGAATGCTTCGACAAAATTGAACAATTAATAAAAATGTTTTGATGGGATTTTTTTCTTGTACTCTACTTTTTTCAATTATGTTTAAAGGAATGTTATTAGATTTATTTTTATGCAGTGCATTGTAATGGTATGCATTTACATATTATTTTGTTAGTTTCCTGCTAATTAACAAATTTTTACATTTATTTACAGCTTATGTTATTTATAACAATTCTGATTAAAATTTATTAAAGAATTGTTTATCTTGAAACTCCAAATATGCAGGGATCAATATCAAAATGATCAATAATATATTGATCATTTTGAGGATGGCAGAAGTTTTTTAATGCCATTTTAAGATACGGCATAGGAAAAAAAGAACTGGCTTCTTCAGTCATAGTGTAAATCTTGACAAGAGTACAAAACATTTAAGTATAATGCAAGACTATCAGTTTAGTTATGAAGTGTCTTTTAAATTAAAAAAATTATGTAATTACATATTAAATATATTTAATTATGTATATCTTCTTTGGATTGGATTAAATTAGGTAGCCCCAGAGGCGAGTTATAGGGGGCTTGCACAAGTCCTTTAAATTTACCTTTAATTTGCAAGCTCTTTTATTTTGCTTTAGTTTTTCATCTAAAAAGAAATACATTTTATGAAAATGTCAAGGCATTTGAAATTTTTCATATTTTTTTTTAAATGGCTTTAAAAGGAAAACTGCATAATGAAATTCTTAACAATGTAAAAAAAAAAAGCTAAAGTCACTATTAGTAGCACTGAAGCTGAGAAAGCTTTCAATTCAATAAACAATATTTCTGCCACAAATCTTTGATTGTACAGCATATTTCAGATTTAATGATAACCCTGTTTTAAATGGGAAATCTTCAAGGCAATTTAATCCTAACTTTTGTGTTAAATCTTTTCTGAAAGATCATTACAAGACGTTATACCTAGTAGAAAGTCAAATGACATGAAAGAAGAAAATATTGTTTGGCAATATCTGACATAAATTGTTGCATATGATTAAATTCATTTATTATTCTATCCAACTTTTGCAATATTTTATGAATTTTTTTTTTTTAATTTTAAAGATTTTTATTTTATTTATTTATTTTTGTTCAAGCATCATTATTTGTATCTCTTGTTTTTATGGAAAGCAAAATATTTAATTAAAATTTGATGATTTGTTTTTATAAGATAAAGTGCAAGCTCTCTGTTAAAACTTTTATAGCATACTGCTGGGTAGCTTCCACAACTGCTTTGCATTTAGTATACTGTTAATTATATGAAAACATAAGAAGGCTGTCATCTTATTTGTGTAAAAATTTTGAATAATTTTTTTATGAAATAGTTACAAAAAGCATAATTTCTACCTATACAAAAACTTATAGAGAACATTAGGCTATTATGGGACATATGTAAAGTCTTACTGATCCAAGCTTCTTTTTTTCAGACTGGTATGGAATCATTTCTCATAGATTCTTATTCTAACTGGAATCATTTCTTTTTATATCATATCTGCTTTTTTTTCTACTTTTATGCTTATTCTGATAAAATTTATCTGTAATAATTGTAAAAAATCATAGAAAACTCATTTTTAGCAATCATAATTTCTTTAACTTTTCATCAGAAAGAAATTTTGCTAATTATATTAATCATTTAACAGTATGTTTGTTCTTTTTTAACTGAATCTTTTTTTTTTTCATTATACATTTTAGTACATTTATATTTTAAGTTGCAGTTTAAAAACTTTAGGAAACTGTGCTTTATAACTAAAAGTGTAATTGTAACTTTAGAGGTAAAATGTGAAAGCTAATTATGTGATTTATTTTATTTTTTCAACACTTCACAAAACGTTCAGACACAAAGCTATATTTATATATTTTCTTAACAATATAAAAAAGCTACATTTATCAGGGCCATCTAAGCCTTTATGGGCTTCTGGACAAACTAGAGTACTGGGATTCCTAGGACAATATCTCACCGGAATGAGATGTAAAGAGCTTAGTGTGGGTACAAATGCTATGTCCTGAGAAAGTGCCCAATGAGCCCATGTGGTAACACTGCCCTGAATTACAGCACAGAATGCTTGTTGATGTATCAATAGTGAACAAAATTAACATTTCAAGAAATAAGATAAACCTAGCTTTGTATCTGAATTTTTTGTATAGTGTTGCAAAAATAAAATTTTATATTCCCAATTAGACCTTCAAAGAAGAAAAGTACTTGGAGGCTTCAAAAAAATGCAGTGATCTTATTTGGGAAAGAGGTTTGCTAAAGAAAGGTTATGGTTTATGCCATGGTGTGGCAGGGAATGGATATGCTCACCTGAGAGTTTTTCAACTTACAAAGGATGTTAAATATCTCTACCGAGCCGTTAAGGTATGGCAATTTTTATGTTCTTGAATGAAGTCTGAACCCATTTCAATTTCCTCTTTTGCTGAGATAGTATTATGAAAATGCAGGTTTGATTTTAAATACACTGATCCTTTGTTCAAGGAAGAAAATTTAAATATTTCTGTAATTTAAACTATAAAACATTTAAATTTCAAACTGAACTATATGTAAGAATATTAGACCAACAATAATTGATGGGCAAATAAATAAATAAATATATTCCAAAAATAAAGTCCTTTTAAAAATAATCAAATCAAATCATTAAGTCTAAGCCAAAAAGATATTAATGTCTTTTATTCTTTAAGAAGCAAATTAAAATAAATATGTATAGCAAAAGTAACTTTATTATTAACTTATGTAGTAGAATTCCAATAA